TCTGAATAAGAATGAGTTGGGGGTGATCCTGGAGGCACAAAGAGCTTTAGACATCGCCGCTCGTCTGCCAAGCTCTACTGTGTAACACAGGTCTGCGCCGATGGTCGTCCTCGCTCTCATACATCTGAGCTGGGAAATCCTCGTTTAGATACGCAACGTATTCCACTCTAGTTGCTTTTCTTCGCAGTGAGACACTATCAGCTGCTTGGTGAGAGTGTGGGAGAAGTTGCAGAGCCATGCTGAATGATTGTTAATTGTCAAGAGAATTGGCTGAGGTCAACAGCTGCAGGAGGGACTTTTGCTGTGTAATAGTTATTATGGGAAATCAAAACAAAGCTAACTGCAGACTTTCGTGCTATAGTTGGATGCATTGCAGCTGGTTTTTGTTATTCAGGAAGTGTAAGTGCAACTTTTTACAAACGATCATCTTTATATTACTCTTTATATTGTAATATTCTGTTAAAAATAATGTAACTTTACTTATTCTTCAGTATTAAAAACTACTTTTATTGCTCAGCATGCAACTATATTGCTTCTGCTGCCTCTAATTAAACCACCAATGCCAGTGACCCGTATTAATGCTTTCTGATTTGCCTCCTTTGTCAGCAGAACAAGTTTTGCCAGTTCCTTTCTAAAATGCGCTTAAGTTTAGGGAGCGATCATGGATGTGGTTTAAAGAAACCATAGTTGATGGTTAAATAAGAAAGAAACAGCTGTCTCCCATCACATGTTACGCTCAATATTATTTACAAATACATAACAAAGCCAAACTTCAGCTGTAATTTAAGTCTGCATTTCTTCTTTGACATGTTGATCATGGCACTTTGCTCAGACGTGGGCTCTGTTCCACTGCCGCACATTTAACACTAATAATGTTGTTTCAGAAACAGCTTTTGCACCACTTCAGGAAACACCGGTGGGCACCCCTTGAACTGAGACATAAAAAAAAAGTATCACTGGCATCTCTCTTTTATAGGCACAATTAGAGAAAGGGCAGCAAGAACAATGGAATAACTGTGCCTTTGTTGGAGCAGTTCATAGGGAATTACTTTCCAACCATTCAAAATGAGGAAAAATCATTAGCAGAAAGTGAGTTTCTTTTCCCTCCCTCTCGCGAAGCAATCTGCTGGAGACAAAGAGAACTTTGAGCCCTTGATATACAGACAGTAAGCGTGGCAGTTAAGCACAAAGAAGACACGGGGAGAGGAGGAGGTGGGAGAGAAAAAACCACCAGGGATTAGAATAATGAAGGAAGTAAATTAAAAACAATTAAAATATTTGTGGGATAGCGGTTAGAGATATTTAATATTTGTTTTTTTTTTAAATACTTGGCTAAAATGCCTAAACAGACGACCGTGTTGAAGTAGTTTAGGGTAAAAAGTTGGTTAAACTTTGGGGCACAGAGAACACCTCCAGTGAACCCCTGTGCTAAACTTCTCCATTCCCCTAAGAAGGGTGCAGACCTCCCCTGCAGGCAGCACACTTAATTGCAGTGCCTGTACACTGTGTTGTTCATATATAGCAGATGGCACACACTGATGGCACCTGTCACATTAATGATATATGTGACATTAAAGCATTTTGATTGTAAGTAAAATAAGCAGGCAGTCAATTTGCAGGTATCAAGGCTGAATAATCGCCTCTGTAGTCGACGTGAGCTATTTTTATTTTCTTCCCAATGTGATCATCTTATTGAAATTGTTTATTATCATCCATTCGACAGGTGGCACGGTTAGTTCTTCGAATTAAATATGTGGAAGACGTGCTTGCTTTGTGGTCTGTGTCTCTGCGTGTCGAAAAGCCCACGTAGATGCGATATAACAAAGCGAAGAAGCAACAGGTCTGATTAACAGCGCGCCCAGCATCGCTGTGTCTCAGTGCGCCAGTGCAGTCACAGACAGGACCATGGAGCTTTTCCTGTGATGTAACCAGAGAATCAAGAAGAACAAAGGGAGAATTTGTTGTTCAGCTTGTGCCTCATCCATAATGCAGGAAAGGTGTACAGACAGAATAGTGTTGGTTAAACGCAACACATGCAAATCACCCGAGCTGTCTCTGACTGACACTGCTTGTTAAGGGCTTGTTATATAGCCATTGCAGTTTTGGATGATAGATATTATTAAAGATGTAGCCACATGGTAGAAAAAAAATGTGTTATTAAAATTAAAACCGTATACAGTTTCACTGAAATATATCAGGTCACTTCTCTTGTTATTTATTACATTTCAAGATATAACAAGTAAAACTACAGGATGTAGAAATATTTGACACAACAGTTTTTAAAAATCTGTTTTCTTGTAAAGTGATACAATAGTGACCTAAAGTTATGATGTAGATGAAATGAATATATGATATGTGTATCTTGATCAAGTCTTTTTACATTTGCATACAACTGATTCTTGCAGAGGCAAAATACCTCGAGGCATGAGTGCCAAGTTAAGGCAGAACTGCGTCGCTGCTTTCTTTCAGAAATAAAATGAACAAGGAGATATTGCCTAATAGCTGAATTGCATGTTCACATATAAAAAAATTAAAAAAAACATTCGTAAGTGCAAATAAATACTTCCTCATGGTTATATGACTCTCTTTGTTTTATATATATTATAACAAGGAGAAATATGATTTCAGTTAATTAAACCTGATTTTCTAACCTTTGCTCCCTTAATTATAAAGTACTGTAGTACAATTCCTTCGACTATAATTACTGATGATATTGCCCTGTGAGTTTCATTATAATACTTATTAATAAGGAGCTTCAAATTATTTATAATACCACGCTTTAGATGACTTACCCAAAGACCAAACACAGATCAGCGGGGGAATGTCTCTCATTTTCTAAAGCAGGTGTGTTTTTCCTGAGAACAGAGCCCAGATGTTGAGGCTGAGTGAGAACTGCATGGCTTAGATGCTAGGAGTTCAAATGAACAAAGAATGAATGACGTTATAGTTTAATAATTGTATAAAATAACGGACCATGTTATGGATTCCTCGATATTTGTGCTCTTGAATGTATGCTGTCACATTACATACACATAGCACGTGAAAATGATTCACAATTATGAATAACGTTTTAATTATTATACAGTTTTTTGGGGTTTTTTTCCAAATTTCTTTAATCAATCTAGGTTTGCCCTAACCCTAACTATAATGATATATAATATGTGATGCATTTCAATAAGGCTGAATAAGAATAATAAAAAAAAATTTTTTTTAATAAATATGCATTGAATTTTTAGCATTATATACCGAGTCAAAAAATGTTGCTGTGATTGCCCTTGAAACACCCATAAGACATCTCCACCTGCAAAAGTGAGATCTGTGGATTCCCAGCTGAGCATGTGAGTTAAATTGGCCTGCAGGTCTTTCTGTGCTTTCTGTGAAGCTTTTGGTCGTCACATCATGTAGCATCAATCTATTGTCAAAAAAACAAACGTGTCTAAAATTCATTAGGGAACGAGTGCAGGAAGAGAAAGCGGTAAATACCAAATAAAGCTGCAAGCATCTTCAGACATATCCGACATACAACAAATACTCTGCGTGTTTCGTAGTGCTTCTGTAATCGCTGGCTAATTCTCAGGAGCAGTGAGGCAGAGCGCTTGACAACATCATCTACTGTGACAGGCAGATTGTGTTTTCACGTGAGCATGATCGACAACAGATTGCACTGAGCCCGGGCTGTTCTTGTTTGCCCTGGAAATGTGTTTGTGTTTATCTTTTGCTTGAGAGAGGCATTTCTTTCTTTCTCCCTCTGTTACCAAAAACAAACGGGCGTGCGCGCACACATACATTTTTAGGCAAGCTGTTCTGCACGTGTGCGTTCGGTGCGTGCGTGTGACACATGCTGTGAAGTGGCTGCCAGGAGAGGCTTAAGAAACAATCCAACCAAGATCAATATCAGCAAACCGCACTTATATGTTTGACTTAAGATCCAGTCGCAGTTTCCCCTGTTTCACTTTTTATGCACAGCCGAAGCCAAACCTCATGAAACTGAATTTACCCGAAAGCCTAAAGTGTGTGTTTATGCACACTGTGACATATTTTGAAATTACATAATTGTTTGGCAAACTCTTAAACTGATTTTTTTCCTCCACCAGGCTTTGATGAGACTGTCAACCCACACTCCAACACACTCGCAAACACACTTCTCAGAACACAAGTTCAGGATTCATGTAGGAGGGAGGGACAATGGCTAATGAGTAGGTCTGGGAAAGTTTCAGATGGCAAGAAACTAATAATTTCGCTCATTTTGATTAATGAGAAAATAGTTTGTCTTAAGATAACACAAATGCCAAAACATATAATATTTAACTTACGACGCGCTCTGCTTATTTGCACACAGTCATTGTGTAACTAACTCTAAATTTATCAGTTTTAATAGCACAATGTGGCACACCTTCAGCTCTGCAATGTGGATTAATATCAGCCTGGTTATAATGCTGTATATAATACATATAGATATAGATATTTAGCCTTAGCCCTGTGCTCAGTAGTCTCAAGAGCAAAATATACAGCAGGTCTTCCCTATTTTGCATTAAATGTATGAGAACTGAGGGAGGCTGTTAGTATGGTTTCACCATAGGTTTATCCCCGTAGACAAGTCTGTCATTTATGAATAAGCATGAGCCAGTGTTTGCCTCATTTAATGATTTTTCACCATTCAAATGTATTCCACATCCCCCCATTTTTTTCTCTGTTTCACATGGCTATCATACACACACACACGTTACACAGATGTTAACATAGATCTTTGCACACTATGTGCAAGTGCCTACTCTTACACAGAAGCAGTAAGCACTTCACTGGAAGGTTCACTCTTCTTCTCACCGTGCCTGCCTACTTTGCTTCTCCTCTCAGGTGCTAACCAAATGACGACCTCAAGCACTGGGAACACTGAAAGGACCTCTTCAGTGAGCTTCTCGCAAACAGCATAGAAAGCTACAAGAGGGAGGGCACGAACAGAAGAAGAAGAAGAAGAAGGAACACTGCATGTGGTATGTACAATCACATAAGCACCCACAGCTATCCATATATTTTGGAGACTTACTGCAACTGTCAGGTGCGAGCACCAGAAGAAGTCTGAAAGGAGGAAATCATGTCTGTTGAAACTGTGACTCTGTGAACTCGCCGTTTCATACATGCTGACATGTAACGCCGTTGATATCTGCCGTGTTGCGTTTATGAACTTGCTGTGTCCAACAGCACCTTATTGATTAGTATGGAGGTCTAGGGACCAGAGGAAATGCTATTAAAGATTAAAGGGTCAGGTGATGTGAAGGTGGCATTCAGAGTCATCAGACACCAGCGGTTTCGGTTACAGGCTGTAATGTTCACCCGTCAAGCAGATTAGCCAGCTTGATTTATTTATTACTTGATGTCTTACCATTTCCTACCCTCACTGACTGAATAACTGATTGACTGGGTGGCTGACTGCTTGCATAGCTTATGCGTCGTAGGTGAACTTCAAAAGGGAAGATTATGGAGTCACTCGGTGTCTATTTACACAACACGCAGTCTGTATTGCTTTTACAGTGCAAAGCTAATAAAGAGAAAGGGGTTTGCTGTTTAACTGTATATAGACCACAAGTGTTTTTCTTTGGGGTTTTTTTTTTTTTTTGGTTTGTTAAAATATCAGGATGGAAGAAACTTTTGGAAGCCTGTGATAATGTTTTCCCTTTTTCAATGTTAAATTGATATAAAGTCAACAATGGGGCCTAACGGTGTATTGTAGCGTAACAAGCTCCATTCAGGGCAGCCATTAAAAATCCTAAAACCGTGATACGGCACCCATATAATGTGAGTATAATAGAACTCTGGTATTATGAGGCCTATCTGGTATACATCTCTGTACAGAGAGCCAATGCACTGCCTGTCTGTGTCTTATCTGAAGTGGCAAACTTGCTGTTCTAATTGTTATCTTCACACTAATAGAGTGGATGTTTTGAAATCATTTGGTTGGACGGATAAAGGCTTGGCAATTCCCCAATGCTTACTGTCTCTGTCAGGGCTTATCTGTAGGAGATAGCTGGGTCCCTAAGAATGATTGGCGGGGTGCAGCATGTGCAAAAGTGTTGCAGCGTCTGAGAAAGGAGGCAGAGCAGACATCCAAGGAATTGTTGAGAATTAAAAAATGGCATTATTCGGGAGTTGCTAAAGTTGCTCCTACTTTTCCAGCGAAATCGCATTGAGGGAAGAATCATGTCATTTAATGTGATAATTAATCTTAAACTCTTATTGTTAAAATAATGAGTGATGTTGGATCATCTGTGAGTGTGTGTTTGTAGAAAATGGTGTCTTTTTTGAAGTATTTTCTAAAAAAACAAAAAACTAAAGGTGCTGAAACACACTGAAGTGTTTTGCTTCTTGCTTAAGTTTTGGTGTACTTGGCATCTGATGTGACTCGCATGAAACAAGAGGCTGAAAACTTAACCTGCCTGAGCGAAACACAACTTTCGCGGTACGGGTTTCATCGCATGCTGTCGCCTGCAGACCTCGGGGTGCTCTCCGTGACATCATTAGTTAAAGAATACATGCCCCATCTTCATCCTCCTCCTCCTCCTCTAGCGGTCCTCTCTCAGCACTAATTGTGTCCACTCCGTCGGGCCTGGCGCGATAATAAAGCGTTAAGAGCCTTGCCTCGTTTATTAAAGTGGAGTTGGGAAATGTGAGACCGCCCCCTTTCAGGAGTTTTTTTTTTTTTTAAAAAGAAAAGGGGTAGAGAGAAAAAAATCGATTATTTCTTCACGCAGGAGAGCAGAAGGTTTAGGGAAAGACTTGGTCGGGATTGTGGGGAGGAACAGAAACAGCTTCGCAACATCACTATTAAGCTTCAGACGTCCAGTACTAATACCGGCACCACCTCCAACACAGCCGCTCCACCGAGTCCCTCGCCGCTCACCGGTACTACGCACTAGCAGACCAGACGGTGCGTCCTCAGCGCCTCCTGAGCGAGCTCTGTCGGATCAGAGAGAGAGAGAGAGAGAGAGAGAGAGAGAGAGGAGAGAGAGAGAGAGAGGGGGGTAGTTTTCTCTGACATTATAGGGACTCATACCACGTATTGTAGGTTACTTTTTTTTCCTCTCGGCGCCGTCCTCCTGCTTAGTTGCGCTCCTGGATTTTAAGTGCGTCTCGGCGAACTCCGTCCCCCATCAAGCAGCGGCTCCAACCTTCCTGTCAAACGGCCGGACCAAACACCCGGCGGACCGCTTGTTGTAGCCTTCTCTCGCTTCACTCGGGACAAGATTTCAGATAAAGTAAGTACCGCACTTGCACCACTTGGCACTCACTGGCAAACACCTCACTCCATCGTATGGTTCTCAAAAAAATTATTATTTATTTTATTTGAAATGTTCCGTAAGGGGAAACTTGAGGGTCTAGTTTGATGCGCGTTGTCTCCCCTGACAAAGTACAGCAACTGCGTGTATTGATTTGTTGTGACCCCCTTTCGACTCGTGCCGGTAACAGCAATGTAATATAGTTACCGAGCGACATCAAATCACTGGTTATGGTGTATTAGGAGATCCGTGTGGTGATTTTAGGTGTCACTGCTGTGTCGACCTTGTGCAGCTTTCTCGCGTCCACATGCAGGCGCACAGTCCAGAAGCCAATGAACAGGCTGGTCACATTAACACTATACTTTATGCCCTCTTTTTGCGCCTTTGGGCAGGGTGGCATATGAAAAGTTACATTTGGGTTGTAAAATGTAGCGTTCAGTCTACCTCAAACAAAATTATAAAGGCAAAAGGAGATGCACAAGTTTTTACATCTCAGATTTCCATCAAAGCAACAGATTAGGGAAACAGTGATCCTAGTTTGTGGATATTCTTTGCGCACGAAATAAACGTTCTAAACTGAGGTGAACTGATGGCAATTATGCCGTGCTAAACTTTAAACCGGTATATTATGTAGGAAGCTTTGATAATTATTAAATAAATAGCTAATCATATCATCGCTGCAATACAGGGGAAAACATTCTTTTACACTTATTTGGATGTAAATTTATGTAGATGAGCGACACGGCGGACTGTGCTGTAAATCAGTGTTTTACAGGAGGTTTGGCTGTTCAGGCTCAACTATAATTTCTTCTCTGTGCCTTTGTGACTGAGACTGACTTATTACAAGAGAGCAAGTATGATTAAATTCATATTGCGAGTTTGGTTAAGCCTCACGTTGCTCAACTAAACCTGTTGCGATGAGAGGAAAAATCACGAGGCTACAATTAACTTGTGGCAACTTTTCTCAGGTTTCAGCTTTGGAGCTAAAAATGGATTCTTTGTTTTACACTTAAAGTGTACGGACACGAGGCCCACCATGTAATGTGCAGAGAAACTCGGGCTTGCAGTGACATTTAAAATTACTATTATACATTTCATTTTCATTTAGATAGATTTTGGGATTGAGTTGGCTGTGGACAAAAAAACGTATGCCAAATGTGAGGATAAACGTTTATCTCTTTACTCATATTGGGCTGAATTAGTTCTTAAGCTGAAACACAGTTTTGTCTGTGAAATAAATTATATAAAAAAGTAAGAAATGAACAGGGATTTAATATAGTGATAACTGCTTGAAATTAAATATAATTAATGTAACTTTTAGAGAATATTTTGAGATTCATTAAACTATTAAATTAATTTTAAAATAACAGCTATGTAAATGAGGTATTTTAAGGCACTTACAGAATGGTAAAAGTGTTTCTGTGTGTAGCTGTATACCAGCTTATTTAATGTGTGCGTTTAAAACACACTGCGTACCGCTTGACTGCATTTCTCAGTTCACTTTCAGAAAAAAAGAGAGATGCTCCGTGTTTTAAGGCATATGTAATTTTTAAGATTTTTAAGAACTTCTGAAGGGAACGTGGTGTCCAGTTGTCCAGTAACCCTTTATTAAACTTTTATGTGAACTTTTTAGTCTTAAAAAAGTCAGAGTGCATTCATTTATATTTTTTTTTAGAAAACAACATCATAAGTGTGGCTTTCCTTTTCTGACTATCGTCAATGAAGTTGTTCTGTGTGGCCTGTCTGGCCTGTTGCTCTCTTGGGATTTAGCGATAGGTTAATCCGCTCAGAGGAAGGTGAGCACTTGCATGTGGACCCACGATTACACACTGAGAAGTCTGTCAGCCAAGCTCTGTAATCTAAGAGACCCTCTACACACACACGGACACACACACACACACACGGACACTTGTATGCAGTCGTGCGCAAACACACACAGGTGCACAAAAGCATGTTCTGTCTCCTTTCTCTCTCTCACTCTCTCTCTCCCTCCTTACACACACACTTTTACACACATGCATCAACACCCACACTATTTGGCCTGCGCTGCTTTTGTTTCTCTTATTCTCTTAAGACCTCTCCATCTTGACAAATCATTTGGGATTTTAGGCGCTGATTCACAAAACCAACAGCGACAACACACTCTTACCCTTCTCACAGAGAGGGATTAGAAGGTCACGTGTCTCTGTGATTGGCCAGGGCATTGAGCCGATTGTCAGGGCACTTTGCTGTACGCCAGGGGCTCAGTAAAGCTTTAGTTAAGTGAAGGAAGGGAACACATTGTATGCCACGGTCAGGGTAATTCCATGTGTTTTCAAGGCACTGCAACAAAATCAGCATAATTAGCAAATATTTGTCATTTGAAATGCCTAATATATTGCTTATAAATGTGTAATTTAACACCCATAAATTAGTTTTACTGGTGGTAACTTCTATTCCTGCTACCAAGTTTCCATCTTCAGGGGGGGAAAAAGGTGTAAACTATACCACTGTGCTCCCTGATCTCTGCTCACATAGACATTTAATACTGTACAAGAGGCACATTTCAAAGATCCCCACCTTATGGAAAACCAGATCTATGAAAACATTTTTCCTTAATGGAGACAACCAATGTATTTATGTTTAAGCAAACAGTTTAAAAGCCCCTTTAGCTGTGCTTTAAAGTTTTTGTTTTTTTTCACTAATGGCTTCAAATATTTTGGAAGAAGTTTGCAGAGTTTACTCAGTTAAACATCAGTAAAACATTCATTTGCAGATTGCCGGTTGGCAAGATCGTGAGGTAGATATTGAAGAACTCTTAAGTGGACTTCATGCCCTTTGGCTCAAATGAGAGGCTGATATAAGACTCAGATGTAGACATTTGTATTTGCCTCACATGCAATGCTTCATAACGTAAGAAAACGTCTTAAAATGCTGAGAGACGACCTTGTGTATCCCGCATGTGAAAACGTTTAATTGGTTTAGCAGCATATGTAACGCAATAAAGTGCAGGCTGTGTGTGTAGTAAAATTTGCCTCGCATAAATAACAGAAATATTAAGGCATTTGTTGAGAAAACAATTCTTCTTGCCAATTTCTAAGCAGATGAAAATGCTTATGTTTTATAATAACTTAAAGGCTTCTTGCATTCCTGTTTATTGCACATGGCAGGTGTTCTCTAGTTGCTGCATGGGAGGAATAGTCTCCTTTTTTTCTCTTTTTTCTTTCTTTTTTTTCTCTTTTCATACGTTTTATAGTAGCAGTGAAATACGCAGGGCTCAACCTCACCATGTGTTTATTTACTCGTCTTCAGCAGATCTCGCTTTCATTGTCCTAACTGTTGTGCGTGTTAGAAATGTTTATCCAAATGCATCTTTGCCTTAGGAGCACTGTCTGTGTATCTTCTCATAAGAGCTGCAATTACTCATAAAACTTACCACACGCACACACACACACACACACACACACACACACACAC